CTCGCGGGCCTTGCGAATACCGGGATCGTTACAATCAGATGCTTACGTAGTAGTAGTAGTCTGACCCAAGTGGGATGGAGTGAGCGGCTTAGTAACTTAGAAGTAAGTCGTCGGGTGTTTGGAAACGCATCGAACAAGAACTCGCAATCTCATCAAATCCAGCTCAATAGGCTCCGTTGGTTAGGGCACGTTTTGCGTATGTCCGACGGTAGCCTATCGCAGCGCGCCTTGTTCACAGTGGCTGTTGCAGACTGGAGAAAGCCACGTGGAAGCCAGCAGATGACGTGGAGACGAGGTATGAAGAAATGCACACAGCGATTAGGTAGAGTAAATGTCTCTCGTCTTCCGGGCTGGGGTCTAAAAGACTCTGAAACAGCATGGTTGGAGGCACTGAAGGTCATGGCTTCTGTCACTTCTTATCAGACCAGAATGCTTGACATAGTATGTATGCACAGTTGGACTGTGTACTCCATGGGTTGACCATAGAGGTTCGCTTTCTTTTCCCGTCCCCAAAAATAGGTCCAAGCCCTATCCTCCTTATACATTCTCACTTACCTTGTATGCAGTATGAGTTTGGCAGCGATCGCTTCACTGTATTACGCTGTACAATGATACTGATTATGACAGTCAGAGAAAAGAGGTTTTTCTTTCACCTTTTCTCAGCCTTGCATTTGAAAGCAGCACATGGACTGCCATTGTCAATGACTGCAGTAAACCCGACTCATCCTCGAGTAGTAACAATAGTAAGTATTGAAAAATTTGCAGGTGACCTCTTATTCGTTAGTCAGCTGGTACTGAAGTTCATAGGTAAGGTTTCGATAATTCCGGTGGTAGATGATGAAGCGTGTTTTGGTTTGAAGACAATTAATTTAGACTAATCGGCTTACCCTAGCCGTTCCGACCGAATTAATCGGGTGATAAATTTACCCGGCAAAGGGCTTCTCGCCTTTGAGAGATGCCTAATAGGTGAGCTACGGCGGAGCGGAGACAGGGCATAAATCGCCCTCGAACTAATGAGGATTCATTCGTGAGAGGGAGTTATTTATACACGCTCGAAGTGCTGAAGGCGTGCGCTGTCAGTGCGCCAGGGACAACTTAGTATCAAATCCGATTGCCTTGGGTTGGCTACCCCAGCAGTGGAACGGTTACCTTAGTTGCATCGACCGGGCAACCAGCGTGGCTTGGCAGAACGAATTGCCCACTTGCTTGCATGTGGTCAGGCCGCTAGACCAAGCTTTCGGCGTCAAGGCCGTGCGCACGGGCTCAGACCTGTCTGACTTAGTGTCGCTACCCTGAAGGCAATTTGGACTGCGTGCGTGTGTGTGTGTGTGTGTGTGCGTATGCGTACTGATCTCAACCAATGAAATGTGAGCTAGAGGCATGGAGACAAAACAGTGCGCGTGCGTACGTAATTAAGCGGACGTGTGTGTGTGTGTATATGTGCATATCGGTGTGTACGCTTGCTTGCTTGTCCACACACGGGAAGAAACAAGTACAGACGATCACTTCTCCCATGTGCGCGCTGACGCACAGGTCTACAGATCTTTCGTCTACCCCAACGGGACAGAGACACAAAATCAACCACCCCAGGCTATCGTGTTCAGACTTCCCTTCGCTCTTCCCCCCCGATCGATTGATTAATCGATCCGCGTCTTTCCAGTGTGTTCAACGCGCCGACCACCCACGCAAGCGCATCGACCACGCGCGCACGCGCGCGACCAGGCAAATCCGCCCTGTTATACCGACCCCTTTAGCCTCGCTCGCCACGGCCACGGCAACGCGGCGACATTGAGTCAGAACAGCGAATATCCACCGATAGCCGTCGCTTGGGCAATCTGACGGTGTGAACTGTGTGAGGATTGATTCTAATCAGTGCTGTTTTCCCGGGTTAGGGAATTCTTTACTGGTCTGAGGATTTCTGACTATTTTATCCCTTATTTTTTTGTGATCGAGCATTGTGCCCGCGGTCTCTCTCTCATCTCCGTTCTCCAGGAGGAACTTTTCTGAGCATCTCAGTTTTCCCGTCCATTTCCGCGAGTGTGTGGAGCCGATCAGCCTTTTGGCTCAACCAGTTTAGTTCACTCGGAGGAGGAAGAGACCGTGTTTATTTCGTACACTCCTGCTCTGCTCGTGAGTTCCCAATCCGATCGCCAGAGCGAAAATGGGTTGTACTCTGTCCAAAGAGGAGCGTGACGCTCTAGAACAGAGCAGAAACATAGACAAAAAACTGAAGGAAGATGGCATGCAAGCTGCCAAAGATGTAAAACTTTTACTGCTCGGTAAGTTCTTGAACGGTTGTAGTTATAGGGGTCTAACTGTACCATTTCTATCTCTCCAATCACCTATGAATGATTTCTAATGTACAAGTTCATTTTCTATCTATTCCACAGCAAGTGATGATTGTTGCATTGATAAAAATTAAACATTATGTGGTGTTAAGCACAATGGGGGTTGCTTGAATGTTATTAGTGACAATGCCGCGTACCTGCCTGTACTACTTTGGATGGATCAATAATCTCGAATTCAATCTCTTCTCTCCAAACAATACTCATACTTGTGTTTAATACAGAGACAACACGACGCTGAATGGTTCGGTTGTTTAATCGGTAGTTGGAAGGCACACATGGTTTTAGCGCGTTCAGGAGTTCTGTTTTGCTCGAATGAGTCAGACTCAGTGAAAAGGTGAAACTCTGAGTCTCATCCCGGTCGTCCGTACCCCGTACCAGTCAGACGCTCCAAAGTCCAAAGTGAATCTGTTCACAATGTTCTCGAATTGGTTCACATATTGTCTCACATTTATCATCTAAAGTCTGGGTTTTTTTATTCCACACGTATGTGTAAAGTCATGAGATTTTACTGTTCACTCATGAAAACCGATGGCTAAAAACTACAGGACTTGGAGTGGTGAACCACATAAGGTAAGGGTATTGAGCTGATCGACAACGAAGCTGCCTACCACCACGAGGACCTTCGATTTTTATTATTCGTCTATACATCAATACTATCCCTATTGGTAGGCATCTTTTTTGTCGTTCGGTTCAATACCAAGCCTAACCTAGCGGGGCCTTATGTGGTTCACCACTCCAAGTCCTGGGGCTTAGGTTACCGATTTCCATCACTGAACAGCAAGCGCTCGTTACTATGGGGTTTACCTCGTCTGCTGTTCATCACACTGTGTGTAATACTAGAAATTAAAAAAATTGCTCATTATTAAGATGGATTGCAAAATACTTCTTTATTTCACGCACTTATTATTCACCAGTTTGAAACCGACCTGGGGGGATGGAGGAACTGTGTCAACTGTGCATTTACTGAATCGCGCATCGATCACCTATAAACAACACATTCACTGGTGTGGTGGTGGTGGTCAAGTGATCTAAGTCACTGTCACTGACGTCGCTACCGGTCACTAAGTGAATATTCGCATCGTGCTTCTCGTCGCATTAGCCCCTGATCTACTGATCATCAGTATGCCTCTCAGTGCGGTTGGGGATGGTGCGCATCTCGGGTTGCGGCTGGTCACTCTTCCGTTGCGTCTCACGAAATGCACCCATGCAACCAAGCATCTCAAATAGCCACCACTGAGGAAGTCCCACTCACGTGGTGGAGGTGATCTCCCCTCGCCAGAGTGAGAAGATGAAAAGCCAACATCCGGGTTGGTGAACCACTGGTCACCGGCTCGGTTAAGTATCTAAGTGTGTAATGGGCACCTTGGACGTTTGACCCCGTCCAAAGGGTGCATAACTAGACACCAGACCCTAATGGATTGCGATTTTCACATACCACTCCGCTGCGCATTGCAGGTCAGGCTTTGGCTAACCCAAGGCTCCGGTTGAAAATTCCCCGAGAAAACTCACCTACCTTGGCCTAGGCAACCCAGCAGTATTCCGCCCAAAAACAGATCTTGCAGTTTTCTCTTTTTATTGGCACACAGTCTGAAGTTTACCTCTGTTCTCCACAATTGTGTGTGTAATGGAAGTGTGTAATAGAGTGGTATTTGAGTTTGCAACGGTTTCCCGAACGGCGAGGTCCATATCTGAGTCATGAGTACGAATAGAATTTGAGAAGCAAGTTAGAATACGTGTGTATCCTGAATGTGTATTGTTTGATTGCCCCCGTCCCATATTCACCGTGTTGTTTGTGCTCCGAGTGTATCTGTTTCATCTGCTAATTCACGTCCTACTGCCTAATATGAATGTGTGCAAAACTTCGGTGTCATTTTTCCCACTGTATCATCTTTTTTTTGAACTCGGCGTGACATTAGTTCAACAAACCCCTCCCCTTTGCTGCTTTCAGTGTGTTTTGGTTGTGCCCTAGTATCGTGTATCGTCCCTCGTTTAAAATAAAATGAACATGTCTATTGATTTGTGGTGGATGAGAATGTTAAAAAAAAACAAATAAAGCGACAGTAAAGTTAACGGGGTGGACCCCATAGTCACGAAGACCTACCGGTCAGTGCTGGAAACCGGTAACCTAGGGGCCGGCGGCTTGAAGTGGTGAACTCTGCTAGTTCCGGCTTGGTATTGAATCGGACGGTAGTAAAGCTGCATGCAGCGGCATAAGTGCTTTAAAGATTCCTCTGACCTCTCTCCAAAAAGGTTCGATGTCTAAGAAACCATTCCAGCTGTTTTACTTTGGTTTATTACCTTTTCTCACCGCGTACAGTTTTGATAAATCACCTGTTTCACGTAGAACGTTAGATATGTGTGTGATACAATAGGATCATTCAACACAAATCTCTTTTCTGTTGTTGTTGTGCTTATTCATCGACAAGTTTTACCGGTGTGTAAAACCTCTGAGGCCACTAACGTGCGATGGCTCATATGGTGTTTTCGCGCATTCGTTTTGCTGGCTCGTGAAATCCATGTTCAAACTTTATCGATCGTTTTCCGTGTAAGGTGGCTAGGAAGTGGGCTTGTTTTGAGCACGCATGCGCTCGCGAGAGAGAAAGGAAAACTGAACCTCTGTTTAAGACACAAATCGTTTTCCATTTTCATTATACATGATTTGGCTCGACTCATCTGTGCGCATCTCAGCCGTAGCCTTCCCGGTTATGACTCGGTTGGAAACATTCCAACCCGATTAGATGGTACATAAGAGACTAGCGGAGTACTTGGCTTGATCATATGATGAATTTCGGCGTGTAAAGAACTGAAGATCTAAGAAGCCCCTTACAACGGTTTCGACCTGGTTGTTGGATCTCATCAGTTGTGCGAATCCATCGACCCAACACATGTCCAGTGCTCTCTAGCTTTTCAATCCACGTTTCCTTTGCTCTTCACACGACGAATACCACCATATGATCTAACCAAACCCCCACTTCTACTACAAATGTGCATTTAAATCTGTTTCCAAGCTTTTCGATCAGATAAGAAATTACAAGAAGGTCCTTTCTTTTGGTTCACCGTATACCGTACAGTACCGGCCGATTGTGATGCACTAAAATATTTTCTTTATGATCAAATTGAGTTTCATTATATTTATCACCCATATTAATACTTTAGGCTCTGACAATGATTTATATCTTGTCTACCTCGATTTACGTCGTTTCTAGTCTGTATGAGTGTCAATCATCTTGGTTACCAAGATTTAATAATCTCAAAATGAAAATCGCAAACTTTATTAAGTATGAAAATGCAATATCGTAGTGTGTTTCTACGTGTCTCATTATCTGTGGACAGCCACTAATTTTTCCCTCACCCCGAAACAACAACAAAGCGTAATACGGTCGTCGACTGCCAGACACAATGCACCAGATTCTTACATGTTTGGTGCTGTGTTGAATGTTGCTTGGATCAGTTAGGGGTAAGTGGTACGACCAAAATGTCTCAGCCTGTAAGTTGCTCTATTGGTCTAATGATCTGTACAAAAGGATGAGACGATCGGACCTGGTTTGAACCAGTCACGTATGAAGTAGTCAGGATTCACTTTTCTAGCCCACTTAGAAATCAATTACTACCGCTGGCTGCCATTGACCAATCCGCGCGCGGGCACGTGGATGCACATCGTTTGGTTACAAACACCACCACAAAAACTGACCAATTTCCTATTTTTCCCGTCTTATCGGATCTTGGGAAAAGTTTGCAAAGAAGAAGCATCTGGAAAGTAAATCCAGTGAACAAAAAATCTTCCCTGGTTTCCATTCTTAATTAAAAACGAGTTAGCGTGCAGTTGCGCAATCAGTCTTCATTGAACGATAAGTGTGCGCCGGTCAACAAAATCCGATCCAGGCTCTCTCGAAAATCGAAAAAGCGTCTGCTGTCTGTGCTTCGAACTGAGGGGTAGGAGGTGAAAATTTAAAGGATTTATTTCAGTCTTTCAAGACGGACTATATCATCCATTGTTTGTTTGTTTACTCAAACTTCGAAACTTGTGGTATAAAGCCTTGTGCTCACCATCACTCCTAATCAAACTTTTTTGTAGTACCTGTACACACACACACAAAAGACGTGGTGTGATTGCTCATAGTGAGCGGCATTTTCATTCATTTCCTCGCCGTATCATTAGTTCCTGTTTGAATCGGAAGATAACTTGCCTGCTAAAATCGAGTTCGATTAAATGAATCTGAGGATAATGGCTTGGTCATTACTTGATCCGATTTCTTTTTGTCATCGGTTTATCACGACTGAAAATGGTCAGCTGTTCCTATGGCTATACAGTTTACATCACCACTTCCGTGCACAAACAGAGCCCAGTTGTTGTCGGTTCAGATTTACCACAAACTGATCTATTCATTCACCTCTCCTGCTTGATATATCGACCAGAATCAGACAACCGGAATTTAAATCACAGATCAATAAGTTGGACACCTTTCGTGTACAGTACAATGAGCAAACAGTTTGACAGTTCAAATAGGTGTGTCGATTCTTAGGCAGTTCACATGCACGTTGTAAATTTGAAAATAAACACGTTACTTTCTTTGCTTTGCTGATTTGGAGGGACACAAAGGAATTATTCGGAGTGAGTGTGTGTGTGGGGGGGGACAGTTTTCGTAAAAAGTAAATCCAAACGACGATGGTTTTCCGGTTCCAAGTGTATAAATGTATGTATTGATACATTTTCACTCATGTCTGGGTCTACATTGCTTACTAAACAAATCACAGTATAATAATGGTCTTTGTGAAAAGCAACGTGCCCACGATTTGCTCGCGAAAGATGTCGTAATGGAACTTTCCATAACAAGTAACACTAGTGGACTTGGTTCAGTAGCATTGGTGTTATTTGAATCAAGAGTGAATCAATTCACGTTCATGTTGCTATCAGTGGGTCTTTGTTTATACGAATTACCGGCCCATGAGGATCGCATTCTGTGCCATTCAGTTTTTCCAGCCGTCAACTACGTTCCCATTGTAATGTGAAACTCGTGTTTACCGACTCTAAAATTTACTATACACTATTCGCTGAACGATCATATTTTAAATTTGCTCTTCCGGTGTCTTAAACCATATTTTATTTTTTCACAAAAGGTGTTCCTCACGATAGTGCATGGCTGTACAAACTGAAACTAAAACTGTTCCTCACCTATGTTCTCGTTGTGATGTGGTCATCACCACGTGTACTAACAGCCAGCGTCACTGATAGACTATGTAGATCTTGTGTGTCTGCATGTCAGATCTGGGGAAACCTCTGTTTTGTTCCGTTTAACATACACGCTCTCTCTCACTCAGATATTTTTACAATCCCCACACGGTTTGAATCATTTCAATGTTGTGTTGTATCTTCGAATGTGACCGCAAACGGCGATCTGTTCACCTCCTGTTTTAATATTCCGTAATGGAGACCTAGCTTTCCAACCACCAATGGTGTTAAACCCAGTCAGAACGCTCCAAATAGTTCTAATCACAAAAGTAATTGGGGGAAGGGGGGTTGATTGAACAATGATCCACAACCAAAACTTTCATGCACTTCGTGTTGGTTTCCTCCTTGGTTTTTTATGTGCCTTATTCTATGATGAATTTAGTTCCGGATCTATGATCCAGAACGGGGTTGGTGATGGTGGCGCAGTGATTTAGTCGCTGTCGCCGGCGTGCTTTGGACCCTTTGGTCTGAGGTTCGAGACCCGCCACCGCCACCCAACTTTGGTGATGCGCAGCATTTCTGTCGCCTGGTTCTATACCACGCCTTAGCTAGCGAAGCCTTATGTGGTTCACCACTCCAAGTCCCGGGACTTAGATTGCCGGTTATCATCAGTGAACAGCAGGTCTTCGTGACTATGGGATCCGCTCCGACTGCTTTTCATCACACTGGTGTGTAACTAAAAAAGAGATGACTTGTGTTTAAATTAGTTGTTCAGTCAAACAAGTAAATGTTTAAAAAGCGAATACAAATTTGTTCTCCTTCTCGTTTCATGTTCGTAAATCTGTGAGCAATAATGCACTGTCTATGATCAGCACTACGGTTTTCACACATCACCGCGGTGCCTTGCCGGTCAGGCTTTGGCAAGCCGAATGCTCGCGTCGTGAAATCCCCACAAAAATTCGCCTGCTTTGGTCCGGTCAACCCATGTCGTCGAGCAAATCATGGACCTTTATGATAAAGATTATTGTACCGTGACTGTTCATCACAAGTGTGTAATAAAAAAGGTGTACTGAACAGCAGACGGGGTAAACCCCATAGTCACGAGGACCTGCTGTTCAGTAATGGAAACCGGTAGCCTTGGATTGTTGAACCACATAAGGCCGTGCTAAGTCAGGCGTGGTATTGAACCGGACGACAGCCGAGCTGCCCACCACCAAAGTTGGGTGTCGGTGGCGGGGCTCGAACCTCGGACCATAGGGTCCAAAGCACGCCGGCTATAGCGACTAAACCACAGCGCCACCACCGCCACTGTTTCTCACCGACATATATACACTTTTTGTTTCAAGCTGTTCATGATGAAGCGGTTTAATCTACTGACATCGTTGTGTTCTTCTGATAAAGGGTATGCACTCAAACCATCCACTGAACTTTGAATATAGGCGTCTGTGCTGTCATACTTATCATCTCCTTTTATCTTTGTAACCTGCAGCTATATGAATTCCATATTTTCTCGTGGACTCTGCTCGCAATATTCCAACCTTTTGCTCTTTTATCTAAATGATCAGTCGAAAGATAGTAACCAAAACCGGTGAATGAACGTTCGTGGATAATGGTCGTAAAAATTGTAACTGAACTGAACTACTTTCTGAGAGCGGATTGCAGAAAGCTGGGAGTGGTGGTTATCGTAAATGAACAACGGGTGATCATGACCGACCCACTCTGTGGCATATCATTTAAATGTTTATTGAATTGTATTGTGCTGTGTGTGCATTGTGCTGGTAACTATGCCTTCATTTCAGTCAAAAAATGCGTTCACCGTTAAACTGAGATAAAAAATGACAAAAGTCATATGCAACAATAATCAAAATTAATCAGAAGATTACCTTTTTAGGTTTTAAATTAGTTTTTTTTGGGGGGGGGGCAGATNGGTGGGGGGGGGGGGGGGAGGGAGAGTGGAGTGGAGTGGAGGGACGGAAAGCAGGTAGCTCGAGATTGAGCGAACATCTGGGGCCGTTGAGTATCCTATGGGACCAAATTTTCACATGAATTAATATGAAAATCACACAATTTTTCAAATCAGACTGTTTATAGGGGAATAAGAGAAACGCGACCGGTAATTACCAAACCGCGACAAAGTGTAATGAAATCCCTTTTGAAGTAGTCCACGAAAAGTAACGGGCGAAAAATACATTCATAAACATAAGAACACATCTAATTGCTTGCTTCACTTCTCACCGTTTCGGATAATTATTACAAAGATTTTGAATGTAATCGGGGGATGTAACGCACACCAAACTACTATTGATGTCTCATTGATGGTTGATGAGGTCCGTATTGCCCTAATGAGACCATTGAGACCGTTCTTATTGGCCGCGTTAATGGAAATTATCTGCAAACATTCCAATCACGATTCGGATGTTTGTTTGTTTTCTCGTTTCCGTTAAAGTTCCGCGTTATGCACGCGGATGTTCTTTTCAATGCGGAAGTGATTATCTAGGCGACAACGCTGTGCCACGTGAACTGGGACGGTTTGAGCAGAACGGAGCACTACGCGTCGGTTACGTATCAATATTTTGAATTGAGCGAGAGAGAGAGGAGGAGGAGGAGGAAAAGCAGTCTTGGTTGGAGATACATTTTTCCGAGTTATATAAACTGCGTTTGATAGAAAATCATGGTGTAGAAGATTTCTTACGTAATGCATCCATTACGAGGCAACCACATAGTCACCAAGACCTGCTGTTCACTGATGGTAACTGGCAACCTAACTAAGACACCCGCGGAACTTGTAGTGCTGAACCGCATAAGGCAACCTGAAATCTCTGAAAAGATTTAAATTCGATCCAAACTTGATCCAAACGTCAAGTACGGAACAAGAATAATTACTCCAGTCATTCAATTAGGGATTAGAATAGATCGTTATGGTTGACTTTGTACTCACCAACTGGGATCGTTGTAACCGGGACGGGAAGATACGATTTGAGGCGCAAACTTCTCCCTCGGTCGGTGATCGAGTCAACCGAAAACGGATCGCTGATGCTGATTCGCTCATA